GCTTGGGCCCTGGACAAGGAAGGCAGGCAGGGGGAAATGAGGGCTAGGTGTGCGCAGGTCCCACGGGTCACTCAGCAGCCGTCCGCTGAGCACCTTTCAGACCCGATTCGGAGAAGCCGTGGCCTGCCCGCAGGGTGTCCACACAGCCTGGGGTGGGGCCTTGGCCCCCTGGCTCCCTGGCCCGCCCCCAGCCAGCAGCCAACCTTTGGAAGAGGAGGGGTACCGACTAGACCTGGCCTGTCATGACGCTCTCCCGCACACTGCAGACGACTGAGCGGGCTCCGGAGGCCACCCTCCCTCCACGCTCACCAGCAGCCGGGCGGCTCCCTGGCCGAGTCAGCTGTCAGTGTCAGGGCCCAGGAGACGGGCCCTGCGGCGCTGTCATTAGTGGTCTGTGGAGCACAGGCTGTGCCCAGCTGGCTGACCAGAGCAAACATAGCCAGGGCATGCCCCGGGCAGCCGCCGGGTGGGGCCGAGGGGCAGTGGTGCTGGGCTCTGTGTCTGGGTGAGAGGGCAGCGTCTGCATGCCCACACACCAGAGCAGTGCTTTTAGGCACCGACCCAGGGCACACAGTGGTCTGCAGTCAGGTGACAGGAAGGAGCCTGCCAGTAGGAGGCCTGGGGCAGGTGGGCAAAATGCAAAGGCCCTGAGGTAAGCAGGAGTCCATGGAACAAAGAGAAGGCAGTGGGGAGGGGGCGGGACGGGTAACAGAGCACCCAGAGTGGGGACTTCCTAAAGCAGACTTCAGAGGGACCCCCGCTGGCCGGTGGCATATCTGATTACTTTTCAAAGTAGGATTGAAAGGGGAGGGGGAAGTGTTTGCTCTGTTGTATGTTTTGTGTTTAAAGAAAAAAATGATTTATTAATGAAAAATATAATACAAAAACTAGGATTGAGATCAACTGTAGCTATAGAAAAAAAAACTACCATCAAAAGAAGGTAGTTTTTTCTTGCTCATTCTGAGAAGTCTAGAGGTGGACAGCCCCGGGGAGGCCTGGGCTCAGCGCCACCCCTGCAGAAGCAGGCTGCTCCGGCTCCGGCTCCGCTGAGATTCCCTGGCTCCTGCTCCTCCTGGCCCAGCACAGCTGCTGGAGCTCTGGCCATACGTCTGCGTTCCAGGCAGCAGGAAGAAGGAAGCAATGAAGAATGGCATAGCCCCTTCCACGGTCAGGATGGAGCCACAAAGGAGAACCAGCAGCGGGCGGAGCACTGCCCCTGCCACCTTTGCCCTGACTGCTGGGGACAGGGGCTTTGCTGGGCATGGACACCAGGAGAGGACGAGTGGAGTCAGCCCTGCCCCACTCCCGGGAGAGATGGCTGCATGAAAGAGCAGGGCAGACCCATGGACTAGGACTCCCCACTTTTCTGTCTCCACGGTCCCAGGTGAGTTCCTCCAAGCCAGCTGGATGCCTCGCTGCTCTGTTGATGGCTGGGAGACATTTCAGAGTTCGATGAGCATAACTCAGTGACTCCCTCTTGGGGGGCACCCACTTTGTGTCTGGGTTCAGGCCCTTCAGGGGCCAGCTGCTGCTTTCCAAGTGGCCTTGGGCATGTCACGTTTTGTGAGCAGACCGTGTGAGGCGGTGCACACACCTGCATAGATATCCATCTCACGTCACCTGGGCTGTTACTGTGCTGGATCTGGGCACGCCTGTGTGGCCTTGGCAGCACCTCCTCTCCTGTCTTTGACGTCGGGACGATGGCACAGCACCTCCTCGTAAGTCTGGCCTGCTTCCTCTGGGGTGGCAGCCCTCCCCGACCCCACTCTGTGCACCCACCTGGTGGGAACTGCGGTTCCGGAAGTACCCGACGGAAGTGAGGAGCACTGGGCCCAACCCACTGCCCTGCAACGGTGTCCGGGGTGGGGGGCAGCCACCAGCTCCTGGGGAGTGTCCGCTGCCCCAGCGAGCTGTCTCCCTGGGGTGGGCATTGGGGGCAGGCCAGGCTCGGTGTGACAAGGATGCAGCTGCACAGCTGGCCTCCTGGGCCAGGACCTGGCACAGTCTGCTGCACTGGCCCAGGAGGCCAGGCCAGCCTGGGGCTCATCCACTCCACTACCACCTCGCAGACACGGGAGGGACAGGAGCCACGTTCACAGACTCGGGCCATCGAAACGCACATCCTCCCAGGCCCAGGCTGCCACACCCACCCCATTCCCAGGGTGATGCTTCTTCCCGGCCCGGGCCGCCGAGGAGGGCGCTGCCCCTCTGACCAGGGGTGATGCCCACAGGACGAAGCTGCCTGCTCACTGTGGCCTCGTGAGGAGGGGCTGGGAGTAAGGCCTCGGCCGCCCCCCACAGGCTGGGTGACTACATCCTGTGGCACCCCGTCTTGCAGACTGGAAGCATGTCCTAGGCACACCGCTCGACAGGGCAAGCGGCCTGGACTGCTCTGCGGGCGCATGCTCAGCCTGTGTCTGCACGTGCCTGCTGCACACGTGTCCGCCACCATGTCCCGTGTCTCTCTGTTGGGACTCAGCTGGCCCACACCCCTCCTGGGACACTCCCCATGGGCGCTTCCCACGGACCCTCACACCCTCACTACTTCAGTATCTGGAACTGGGAGCCTGGATGCTCATGCCAGTCTTCAGGACAGTCTGAAATGTGGGCACACAGTGGGCACTTCCCTTTCAGGCTGTCCTGGAAACAGTCTGGGAAGCAGACCGCCACAGGCGAATGAGGATGACACAGGAGAGGGGAAGTCCCTCCCCAAGGACACACGTCAGGCTGGCCGGCCTGCAGGATGAGGCCCTGCCAAGGGCTGACCATACCCAGACCCCAGGAAGGTGGAGTGCCCCCAGCCCCCACAGCCAGCACAGAGCAGGGTGACAAACCCAGGTCTAAATGCCCAGTCGTTCTGCTGAGACCTTTCCTGGCTTTCTCCTTCTGAACACGGAATAACGCACCTCAGACCAGAGCTGTCCTGCAGGACAGACACCCTCGCGGTGAGAGACCAACAGGGACACAGAGGCTCCTCAGCCGCTTTGCTCCCCCACCCCCTCCATCACCCTCAGGGACCTCCTTCCTGGTGCCCTCTCCCTGGGCCTCCAGGGCCAGCACTGTCCCCAGGGTGGGAGTTAGGCCCCTGTGGCTGGGGAACGTGCTTCCCCTGTGGGCAGTGCCTGTGTGGGCGGTGCTGACACCTGGCCGTCTGGACTCCCAGCTGCTCGTGAACAGTCAGTGGGGGTGATGCGAGAATAACGGGAACCATGGCTTGAGGGGCCACCATGCCCAGGCCTGTCCAGACTCCCAGGCACCACTGTGGGCTGTGAGACTTTGGGGCCCCCAGGGCAGCCCCCACACACCCTGGACCGCAGACCCCCCCCCATGAGCAGAGCACTGAGGGGTTAGATCCAAATGCCTCTGTGAGCCACCGAGGAAATCGGTCCTGTCAGAGCGGCGGGGGCAGCTGGGGTGTGGCCCCACCCAGAGGTGCCTTCGGGTCAGGGAAGGCCAACCAGGGTCTAGTGGATGGCCCTTCCCTGGTGATGCCCAGTGTGACTTGCACTCTCCAGGCCTTCAGTTTCACTTACTAAACACCATCCCTGCCAGCAGGGCTGAGGCCTGGGCAGGGGGCGGAGGGGAGTCCCAGCCTGGAGTGCAGAGAGCAGCCATGGGCAAGGCCAGCACCCACAGTGCCCGCCTGCAGGCCAGGCGACCGCAGGGGGAAGCGGCCTCCACACAGCCTTCCCGGAGTTCTGAGCGTGGCCTCCGGGGCCTCTCTCCAGCTGTACCTCAGTTTCCTCCTCTGTCAAGTGAGGGGGTACACCTGCTCCCCAGGAAAGAGAAGCAATGCAGCTGGGTCCAGCAGTGCTATCCCACACGGCCTCACCTCTGCCCCACCAGCTCAGCGCCAGCTGCCTTGTGGCACCCCCAAAGCCTAGAGCAGGGCCTGGCACACAGCAGGCGCCCCAGGATCACAGGGTGAATGAAAGCATGTCAGCTGGAGCTGGGCTGGGGCTCGGGGACCTTGGCACTGCAGGTACCCTTTCTGGTCTTGTTTATGAAAGGGGAAAAGACCACGCCCCTGGCCCTGAACGAAGAGCACCACCCTCACAGGTAGAGTCCATGGCACCCCCTTCCTGAGCCCACACTGCACTGGCAGTGGCTCAGGGTCGCAGGTCCAGAGCCAGACACATGGCCCTGAGAGGGACCATGGTACCTCCCGGGTGGCTGGTAGCTCTGCTCAGGGCACATTGGGGGAGGGAGGCTTCAGTGCAAACATCAGCAGACACCGTGACCGAAGGCAGAAGTTGGGGTCTCCACCTGGAAGGGGTCAAAAGCAGCTGTGCCTGGGAGCCCGGGCTGGTCAGGACAGAGCCTCACGGCCCGCACTTCGCAGTACCAGCCCTGGGAGATAACACCCAGGCCCCTCCCACAGCACATGCCTCGGAGGCCCAAGTGCTGGGACACCGAACGACTGAGCTAGGGCTGGGGGAGGCAAAGGCTCCGGCGCCACCCCAGGCAAGGGGTCCTGCCTCCTGCCTGGGGCACCGAGGCTGTTCGGGGCGGGGGGGGGGGGGTGGGGGGGTGGGGGTGAGCGGGAGGCCTTCGTGTCCGGTTTCCCGGGGAGGCCGAGGCTCAGAGCGGAGGCGCAGCGGCAGGGCGTGCGGACCCACTCGCTGGCGCACTGTGTGCCGCGCGGGACCCCCGGGTTTTCCGTGGCAGAGGCGCCCGCTCGTCTCGCTCCATGGCACTCCCGGCAGTTTGCGAAGTAGCCAAGTTCTCGGCCTCATTTTACGGATTAAAAGTGTCCACGACGGGGCCGCAGAGGGGGACGTGCGTCCCCCAAGCCCCCTCCCGGCCGGCGCTGAAGAGCCAGGGTGCAGGGAGGGGTCCTCTCGCGGAAAGGGTGGAGTCATTGTTATCCCGGGAGCGCGGCCTCCGGGCCAGGCCTGCCAGGCGGGGCGGAGCCTAGGACGCTGCGCTGCGGGGCGGTCCCGGGCGGTCCCGGGCGGTCCCGGGCGGGCTAGGCGGCGCGCACCCGGGGACCCGCGGAGACCGAGCGGGTGGCGCTCAGGCTCGGAGCGGCCGCGGCGGCCGCGCCATGGACTCAACCCCCGAGGACTACGAGCTCAACGGCGAACTGCGCCTGGACTCGCCCGGCTCTCCGGACCCCTCGGTAAGCCCCTTGCCCCGCACCCTGTGCGACCTTGGCCGGTGCCCGCCCTCTGGGCTTCGCGCCCACAGGTCCCGGGCACCTATGGGCGCCGGCCAGCTGCGCGCCGCGTCCCACTGCGGGGTGGCGGGGGTCGCCGTGCCCCATGCGTCCCGCAACTCACCCACACCCGCAGGAGCCCGCGCGGTGGCCCCGGGGCTCCGGCAACTCCCGCAGGTGAGCGGGGCGCGGGGCGGGCTGGCGGGCTGCCGTCGGGGCCGGGCCAGGGGTGCCCAAGCCTCCCCACGACCCGGCCTTCCTTCCCCACCCCCCTGCCACCATCTAACTTTCAGTGGCCTTATCTTCCGCTGCGCGCCCTGGTGGGCGGGGAGTCCCCCAGCCTCTGGGCCGCGGGCCAGCAGCGGGCAGACAGTTACGTCACGCACGATGTTCAGGCGACCGCACAGTCTGGTGCGTGCCCGGATGGGGAACTTGGGGCCGCTGCGGCTCGCTCCCTTCTCCCGCAGCCCCCCGCGGCCTGTGCCCTGCCAGTCAAGGAGCGTGGTGGGCACTGGGCAACCACTGGCAGTGGCCCCGCCCCCACAGTAGAGCTGGTGCCCGCCTGCCCTGGGCCCCTGTGCCGCTGGGCAGGCCTGAGCGGTGGGCTGTGCCACGCGCCGAGGCCCCGCGCTTCCCCAGCCCTGTTTGTGAAGCAGTCCGGGCACAGACCTCTGTGGGTGGTTGACTTTGGACATTCTTTCAGTTTCTGACCCCCTGGGGAGGGGCCGGGCCAGTGGTTTGTCTGCAGGGTGAACCCACTGGAGTGGAGATGACAGTGCCCAGGTGGGGTGACCAGACAGGCCCTGTTGGGGTTGGGGAAAGGGAGAGGCCCCAAATGGCCTGGACGCCCCGCTCTGAGCCCCTGGCCCACATGATATTCAACTCCGTCCTTCTCCATAGCAGACCTTTCCAGGGCCCCAGCCACCTTGCCAGCCCTTCAGTGAAGCCTGGCTGCCCTGGGGGTGGCCCAGGGTGTTTGTCCTGGGTTCGAGACGAAGCTGAGGACAGAGAGGCGCCCGCACATGGCCTTCCCTGGCATGTGAGCGCTTTGGAGCCGTGGGCCGTGTGCTTGGGGAGGCTGCTTGCCTTCCCCGGGCCTTCTGTCCAGGGTCCGAAAAAGTAGAACGAATGCGTGCCCTCGGGGAAGAGTGGGAGCACAGCAGGTAACGGGGCAGGTGGGCTGAGAGTAGGTCCGAAAGGGCGCGGCCCTGCCCCCTCCCAGCTTGGCTGCACCCCCCCTCCAGCTCTGCTCACCTCAACTTCGCAGCACTGCTTGGCTCTGGGACAGGGTGGGGGAGGGCACCACATCCTGAAAGTAGAGCAGAGGAGCCTCTGCCAACATGCTGAACCCCCAGGGGCTGGTGTGATGGCGGTGGGAGTGTGACATTGGTGCTGGGCCCTGGAGGACAGGAGTGGGGTACAGGTGTGCCCCCCCCATGATATGGGGAGAGCATCCCAGGCAGAGGGAATAGGGAGAGAAAGGCCCACAGACTGGGCCACCACGCACACTGGGGAGGCGGGGTGGCGGCAGGTCAGGCGTTGCTGGGAGCCTGAGAGAGTGGACATGTTCCTCCGGGTCTTCGGCCGCAGGCAGGGAGGCTCCTGGAGCGGGCTGGCCAGAGGCTTGCCCAGGTCCAGCCAGCGCTCGCCTCGGCCTCTTGGCTCCCCTCCCGCCCTCAGGACCTGCCTTGTTGAATTCAAGGCACTCACCCTGTGCCTCGGTTTCTCATCTGTGGAATGGGTGGGAGCAGGCATTCCTCAGAGGTCATTGTGAGGAGTGCCACAGCCAGACAGACACATACATGTGTCATTGACACCCCCGCCTGCCACTCCCCTGGTGGTGACCCCTGGTGATGACATCTGGCAGCATTGCCCCCAGGCGGGGTCCCGGGACATGCATGACCCTCCCTGCACCTCTCCTGGCTCTTGTTAGGCCTTCTCCTGGGTTGCCAGGCCAGAATCGGAGCCTCGGACACCTGCGTGAGGGCAGGAAGGAAGGCTTGCTGGGAGAGGGATAGACCAGGACGTCTTCAGGGAATCCTGGACAGCAGTGGGTGGGCTGTGTCCCCAGCGTGCCCCTGGACATGGGAGGACAAACTGTGAGGCCTGGCCTTACCGTGCAACCGTGGGCAAGTGCAGACCCAACCCAGCCTGTTTCCTCTTCTGTGAAGTGGGGCAGTACAGCTCACCTCCCCAGGCAGCCGGGCCTACAGGAGAGTCACACATGTAACCATTGGGCCAGGGCAGTGGGGAGATCGTCCATGGCCCTGTTCATGTGCTTGAGCCCTTGGGGCCCCGCAAGGCCCCTCTGCCCAGGGCGCCCCTCTGGAAGTGACCTGGTGTCTTCTTTGAGTGAACTCCCCTTGGCTGCTGCAGGAGGAGTGGTGTCCGCCTCACTGTGAAAGCAGCCCCCAGCTGTGCCACGCCTGGAGGCTGGGTTTCGGGGGCAGCTGTGTTGGACCCTGCAGCCGATGCCGGGATGTGGCTCACTGAGGGCACAGCAGGGAGGTGGTGGGACAGGGCGGACAGGGCTCCCGGGCCACATCTGGGCCGTGCTCAGCATGAGCTGTGGGGGAACTTGGCTCCTCTCATCTCTGCTCTCCAGGCAGAACCCCGGTGACAGGGCCTCAAGTTCTAACAGGTGACTCTGATGAGGCTGCAGGGTCACTGAGGCCGGTGCTGAGCCCACAGGAAGTGGGTGTGCCCAGCCCAAGCCCAGCTGCCACCGGAACACCCCCACTGTCCCCCACCAGACTTCCTGCGTGGAGCTGGTGACCTCGGCTGGCTGCGTGGGGCCAGTGGGGGGCAGTGTGGACCTGTGTGGCCCCAGGCAGTGCCAGTTTGGTTCCCAGGTCCTGCCCCAGAGGGAAGGGCGGCAGAGCCCCCACGTACGCTGGAGCTGACCGAGCCCAAGGGGGTCCCTGTGCAGGACTGACTTAGGTGGCCAGCGGCGGGAGCCGGACCACAAAGACCTCCAGGCCTCAGCTCTCAGCTCTTTCCCAGGCGTGTTCTCTTTCTTCCGTCACGGGGGTGTTTTCTGGAGTTATTTAGTTAACTGCTCTAGGCTGGCTGGGAGGCAGCCTTTCAAAGCCGCGCGGGCCGGGCAGCCAGGACTGTCCAGCCCTGCCCCAGCCGCGGTGCCCCGACCGGCCACCAGGACTCCGAGCCCCTCACCGAGGCACAGGGCGCTCACCCCTCTCTCTGTGGTGCACACGTGCGGAGTGTACAGGGGTGCTAGGGAAGTGCCCACCCCACTCCTAGCAGGCCAGCTGATGAGCCCTGTAGATTTGTGGGGTCCTTGGTCTCTCACTCAGCAGATATGAAAATGGGCTCTGGGAGGACAGGGGGTTCCCATGGGGTTCCTTCTACACTGGGCTCAGGATTTGGGGCCCCTGGCAGAGTGGTCAGGCAGGGTGTCAGTTCTATGGGCCTGGCCCTGTCCTGTCCTGGTCTCTGAGGAAGCGGGCGGTCTGGGGGCACAAGACGTGGGGTAAGCCAGCCCTCCCTCTCTTCCTATTCAAGCCTGGGGTAGACCGGCATGTCCCTGTCCTGTGATCTCAACTGGCACCCAGGATGCTGCAGACCTGGGTTCACATCCTGGGTTCATCCAGTCTCAGTTCCCCTCCCCTGAGCCGAGGAAGCCCAGCTGTGTGTCCTGGCTCAGTGGCCTGGGCAACCATGAGCTGCTTTTTTTTTTTTCAATATGTTTTTATTGATTTTTTTTAGAGAAATAGAAACACCAATGTGAGAAAGGACATCGACGGGCTGCCTCCTGCATACCCCTACTGGGGATCGTGCCCACAACCCGGGCATGTGCCCTGCCTGGGAATCGAACTGGGACCTCTCAGTCCATGGGACAGTGCTCAACCACTGAGCCACCGGCTGGGCAGCCGTGAGCTGCTTTTGAAGAGCTACCACGAGCCCCTGTCCACAGAGGGAGGCAGCCCTGCATGGAGTCCGCTCCCTGCCCACAGGGCCCCTCTGGTCTTTTAGGGGAAATAGTACAGCAGCCCTGAGGTCACCCAGCTCTGGGACCACAGGTGAGGTTTGGGGGTCTCGTTGGCCCCAGGAGCACACTAACCAGTGTCTGTGCCCTGCACCACCCGGGTCCAGCAGAGGTCTTGGTGGGGGTTCCCAGGGTGGCCCCTGGCAGCTGGGCAGGCAGGCGGCCCGTCCAGGCCCACGGGCTGCCAACCGCAGGAGGAGGTCTGCAAGGCTCATTGTGTAGTGGTCACACCAGGGCCCAGGGCTGTCCCCCAGCTCAGAGCCCCCCAGGAGGCCTGGAGCACCGAGGCCAGGCGTGGCGGAAGTAGCCCAGCGTACTGGGCAGCCCTAGGCTCTGGGGCAGGGGGCCAGCTCTGAGTTCCGACCTGACCCTCCCTCTGGGGCCTGGCCGACCCCAAGCCCCGGCGCCCCACTCTGCAGAGGGAGAATCTCAGTGCCTCTCCCAGTGCGTGGAGACCACCCGACTGTGCCCAGCAAGCACAGATGTGGAGACCAGGCACAAGGGGCATGTGGTCAAGGCCGCACGGCCAGGCTGTGGTGAGCCAGGCTTGACCAGGCCCCAGCCCCAGCCTGTGCTGCCCTTAACGCTGTGCGGGTTGAACAGGAAGCAGATGGCGCAGGGGGCAGGAAGTCCCCAGCACCCGGAGGGGTGCGCAGGCCTGAGCCCCCAGGCATCTGCTCCATGACCCCTGCACACGTGTGAGACTGAGGACAAGAGGGGGCAGGCAGTGGAACCTGGGCAAGGGGAACCTGGAGCGCTCAGCCCCCACAGGGTGACCCCTGACCCTAGTCCCCTCCACGGAGCCTGAGGAGACCATAGTCAGCCACAAGGGCTTCTGAGCCCCAGGGCCTGGGTTCAAATCCCTGTGCAGCCCTCACTGGCTGTTGGCTTTGTGCAAGGGCCTCGGTGCACCCACAGAAGGGGTGTGAGGGTGAAAGGGGAATTCGACGGTGGCTGCGCCCAGGGCTCCCAGGATGGAGGACAGCAGGGCACAGGCGCTCGTGCAGGAGGCACTGCCACGGACAGTGTGGGTCTGTGTTTGCACATGTGGCCACAGGGCTATAGAGTGTTTAAAGGGCTCAGGAGAGCTCAGAATGAAAAGGAATTCTTCCTCCCACCCAGAGGTCACCACAGTTAGCCTGGGCGTGTGTGTGTGCTTATGTATGAGTATATATGTCTGTGTTGTGTATATATGTATGCTTATGTGTGTCTGTGAATACCTGTGTCCACATGGGTACATCGATGTTATGCTTGTGTATAAGCTATGTGTTAAAGTGTGTATACACGTTTGGGTGTGTTTTTACATGTGTACACATTTTGCTTATGTGCACATGTGTGTGTGTGGTCGTGCATATAGGTTTGTTTATGTGTGTACGTGTGTGCATCTGTGTGCATAAGCTTTTGTGTGCATATATTGTCAGGTGTGTATGTATGTGTGCACATGTGTATAAGCTTGTGTGTGTATATCGTCATGTTTGTATATGTCTGTGTGTGCACATATGTGTATGTGTGTGCATGTGTGTGTGTAAGCTTATGTGTGTGTATATGGTTGTGTGTATGGTCATGTTTGTATATGTTTGTTTATGTGTGCACATATTTGCATGTGTGTGTATAAGCTTGTGTGTGTATGTTTATGAATGTACATGTGTGCATGTGTGTGTGTGAGCGTGTGTGTATGCGCATATATGGTGCACAGAAGCTTTGCAAAGTCTGCGCCTGGCTTCTTCTCGGGCTGGAGATGGGGATAACCCCTGGGATGGCTTCCAGTGAGGGCACTGTGGACTGGGTGTGGAGCTCAGGGGCAGCCTCGGGCGTGGGGGACACAGGCCCTTGGGGGCAGCCCTGGTGGTGTGGGCTTGAGCAGCAGCCCACCCAGCTGTGAGTGCAGCTGGAGACCTGGCGTGGGGAGGCCAAGGGGCGACCCCACACAGAGAGGTGCAGGGGCGAGCCGGAGGGGCTTGGCTGTGGGGGACATCCCAGGGAGCCGACTGGGACCTGTGTGTGCAGAGGAGGCCTCCCCTGTGTGTCTCCAGGTCTAGAATTTTAAAGCAGGTGGATTTGCTACCTCAGAGCCACTCACGTGAGGGAAAGTGGGGCAGGTAGCCAGGCCGCCTCTGCTCTGTGCCCGTCCTCCCTCCCTCCAGAGGGTGTTATTCCAGATTAAATTTAAACTTAAAGACACACCGGAGACGTGGGGCCCGCCCTTCTGCAAAGCTGTATTTTCCAACGTGAAGTTCCAGCTGCTGAAAGTGCAGGGGACTGCGCGCCATGGGCCCCGCCCAGCCCCTGCCTCACGCCCCTCCAGTGAGCCCAGAAACAGGAGCCCCAGGCGGCCCAGCCCCTGCCTCACGCCCCTCCAGTGAGCCCAGAAACAGGAGCCCCAGGCGGCCCAGCCCCTGCCTCACGGCCCCTCCAGTGAGCCCAGAAACAGGAGCCCCAGGCGACCCAGCCCCTGCCTCACGCCCCTCCAGTGAGCCCAGAAACAGGAGCCCCAGGCGGCCCAGCCCCTGCCTCACGGCCCCTCCAGTGAGCCCAGAAACAGGAGCCCCAGGCGGCCCAGCCCCTGCCTCACGCCCCTCCAGTGAGCCCAGAAACAGGAGCCCCAGGCGGCCCAGCCCCTGCCTCACGCCCCTCCAGTGAGCCCAGAAACAGGAGCCCCAGGAGGCCCAGGAGGCCCCAGTTTCTGCCTGCGGCTCCGGCTCCCAGGGACACAGGGCCAGGCCCCAGGGACATACTTGTCCTGGGGGGTGGGGCGGGGCCCAGCCAGGGGCAGTTTGAGGTCGCCTTGAGGTGGGCTGATGGAAGCCACAGCAGGGGGCACCAGGAGAGGTAGGGTGTCCTCAGGCACAGGTGAGGGCGGAGGGTCAGGACTGGTCCGGCTTCATGGAGGTGAGCAGGAGGCCGGAGCATGGGCGGTCACAGGGAAGTAAACAGGCCGGAGCCGAGGTGCCAAGGCCCGCAGGGTGGTGTTGGTCACACATGGACACACCTCCAAATGTGTCAACGTCCTTATTAGCTGTGTACAGCTTTTTTTTTTTATCCTCACTGAGGACATTTTTGCATTTATCATCAGATAGAGGGGGAAGGAGAGAGGGAGAGAAACATTGACGTGAAAGGGACACATCGAGTGGCTGCCACCCACACGACCAACCAGGGCCGGGGACAAACTGCAACCGAGGTACATGCCCTTAGTGGGAACCGAACCCGGGACTCTCTGGGAACCGTCCACAGGCCGACACTCTAACCACCGAGCCAAACCGGCCAGGGCTGTGTACAGCTCTTTGTGTGTCCATCAAACCTCGATAACGTGGCTAAGATATTTTAATGAAAATCAGTGCAGGTCTGAGCTCGGCCGCAGCGCGGAGGCCTCCGCAAGTCTGCGCTGTGCCCGCTCAGCTGGCAGGGGCTCGAGCAGGGTCACCGTCCAGGGAAGGCTTGTCGCACCGCACCACTGGGCATGGGTGTGGGGATCGGGGTCCAGCGCCCACCCCAAAAGTCGCTTCCACCCTGGTACCACCCACTCACCCAAACCTGGAGGAGAGGGTGGGAGGGTACGGCTGGCAGGGGCGTCTGGGCACAGCGACAGAGCCCCGTGGCCAGCAGGCACCGTGGCAGTTTCGGTGTGAACCAGAGGGTGCCAGACTGTCTGCTCCCTTCTCTGCAGGGTCGGTTCCTGGGGGCCTCGAAGGGGCTGCCCAGCCTCTGGGCCTCTGCTTCTGTTCATAAGCCTTTCTCTGTCCAGCTGCTGTGGCCCAGTGGTTGGGCGTCGACCCTGCACCAAGAGGTCGCCAGTTCGATTCCCAGTCAGGGCACATGCCCAGGTTGTGGGCCCATCCCCAGTGGGGGGCACGCAGGAGGCGGCCAATCAATGTTCTGTCTCATCACTATGTCTGTCTCTCCCTCTCCCTTCCTCTCTCTCTAAAAATCAATAAAGGAAAATAAATAAATAAATACATACATACATACATACCTGGGCCCACACTGCAGCCCCTCTGTGCCCACTTTCCTGCCAGTTCTGGGCGGGGCCAGGCCCGCAGCCCCTGCCCGCTCCCTGCAGCCAGCCCACTGACTGCCCCCCTACAGCCGCTGCGCGGGGGCAGGAACAGGCCCATCAACGTGAACCACTATGCCAACAAGAAGAGCGTGGCGGAGAGCATGCTGGACGTCGCCCTGCTGATGGCCAACGCCTCACAGCTGAAGGCCGTCATCGACCAGGGCCCCAGCTTCAGCTTCTTCCTCCCTATGGTGGTCCTCATCTCCATCTCCCTGGTGCTGCAGATCTGTGTGGGGGTGCTGCTCATCTTCCTGGGTACGTGCCCGGGCGGGGCCCCGGGGTGAGGGTCCGCCGCAGCCCTGCCCGCCTCTGCTCTGCTCGCACACTCCTGGGGCGGTGCTCGCACCCGAGTCCGAGCACTGAGCCTCGCAGGGCGGCGCGAGGCGGGGCTCCGCGAGCCAGGACGTTCAGGCTGGAGCCCCTGGAGAGCCCCTCCAGGGCTGAGGACGCAGGGAAGTGTCCTGAACACACCAAGAGTGGACAGGAATTGGGAGCCTACCAGGTGCCCTCATTCTTACAGGGTTAAATGGTCCTGTTCCCCCAGCACCCCTGTTCCCCCAGGTGGGGGTCAGGGCTAGGGCTGCAGCGTGGCCTCGCCCTCCTGGCTGGCTGCGTGACCTCAGGCAGGTCACTGGACCTCCTGGCTCAGCTGCCCTGCCTTAAAGTGGACATGCAGACGGGGCCTGGGGTCCTCATGTGGCTCGCGGGACCGCAGCCGGACGCCCAGGAAGGCGCTTGCCCGTGGCCGCCGGGCCCATGCGGGCAGCCGGGCAGTGCCACACCCTCTCGCCCCCAGTCAGGTACGACCTCAACAACCCGGCCAAGCACGCCAGGCTGGACTTCCTCAACAACCTGGCCACCGGCCTCGTCTTCATCATCGTCGTGGTCAACGTCTTCATCACCGCCTTCGGGGTCCAGAAGCCCGTACTGGACTTGGCGCCCCGGCAGTAGGGCTCAGGTGAGTCTCGAGGGCCGGCCGGGCCCCACCCGCCGCAAGCCCCCACACCCTGCTGGCCGCTGACCGTGAGCAGGAGCCGGAGGCAGACCCTGCTCCGCAGGACTCAGCTCTCTGCTGAGTTTGGTGTCAGCAACCAGGCCACAGGCACAAGGGTTATGCATTTGGGACCTGGCCAGGGCTGCACCCCACAGGTCCATGTGACCTGTGGCCCTGTGGCCATGACCCCCGAGGGAAACTGAGGCTTGCCCAGGTTGGAGTCGGCCCGCTGGAGTTGGAGTGGTCGCAACCCCTGTGGACTGGTTGTCAGACTCCCCACTAGGCAGGGTCACCAGGATGGCACGGGGCCCCCGGCCTGAGTGCCCCTCACACCTGTCTCCCTTGCAGATGCCTGGACTGTGCCCAGCCACAGCCACAGACCCCAGAAGTTGCCTTGCCCCTGGGGCCCACCTGCAGGTGCTGCACCCCCTAAACCTGCCAGGGCCCAGGACTGGACTGGAGGACACTTGGGCCAGGGTGAGGCCAGCTCTGTCCTCGGCCACTCTGCCTCCCCGAGCACCGAGCAGCAAGTCCCAGAAGGCAGAGTGGAGATCCCCAAGCAGGGTCATGGCCACCACAGACACGCAGCAGGTCTGAGGATGGGTAGTGAGAGGCCAGGGCCAGCCTTGGTCTCAGGACATTTCCGGAAGGACGAGGAGATGCCCCCCATTCAGCCAACACGCCCCTTGGGGGACCCGTGGCCTCTGGCCCTCCTGACCGGGGACAGCGGACCAGCAGCTCCCCGTGTGGCCGCCCACCATGGCCGGGGCCTCCGCACACCTGCCCCACTCCCCTAGGCACGAAGGGCCAGCGCAGCCGGTGCTCCGCCTGCCACGGTGCCTGGCACCTCCCCCGCCCTCGGCCTGGCCCCTGGCCTCCCCTGCTGGGCCTTTGCCAGCCCCCCCACTCAGGGTTCCCCCCTCTCAGGGCAGCCGCGGGGACGTGGGCTGAACCTCAGGTGCCTTCTCCAGAGCCACGAGCTTGGGCAGCTCCTTGGCGCCTGCCATCTCTGTCCGAGTTTCGGGCGGAGACCAGGGTCTGGGTCCCCCCAGGGTCGTCACTCGCGCTGTGGAGCCCTCCTGCGTGGACCTCGCCCAGCGGGGCTCGCTGTGCTGACTGCCGCAGACTTCGGCGCCCTGACCCGTGCCCCTGGTCAGAGTGAATGTAGCTCTGGTACGCCGAGGTGGCAGGTTCAGTTCCCGGCCGGCCGGGTGCGCGGGAGGCCACTGGCCCACGCTTCTCACACTGCGTTTCCGTCTCCCTCCCTTCTCTCTGAGATCAATAAACATATCCTCTGGTGAGGACTGAGAAAGAAAAGACTCTAGCTGCAATGTCCCAGAAAGGGTCCACTGACTGACCACGCTGGGTGACCAGGAGACCTGCCTGGACACCGCTGTCCCCATGGCCCACCCGCCTAGGCTTCCTGCCAGCTCATTCACAGCAGACAAGCCTGAGGCCCCGCCCCGGCGCCAGCTCGGGCTCCGGGCACCTCCTCAGCTCCAGCTCACGGGGCGCTTTTAGGGTGACTGGCCTGGGGTGCCTGTGTCAGGGCTGGGAGTGAAGCTGGTCCCCACATGAACTTTGGGGGCATGTGGGGTCAGAAGCCGAGACGGAACCCTCCTCAGAGGCTGGGGGAGGTTGGCAGGAGAAGGACCTTGCGGGGAGCCTCCTCCGCGGCATCTTCGGCGGCACCCCTCCTGCCCTCAGGCCTCTGCCCAGGTGGCCCCTCACTGGCCTTCCTGGAAAGTCCCTGCACGCTCACCATTTCCTGCAGCTTGCCTGCCGCCTGTCTCCCCCATGCGCACAGTCGTGCCCCCACGTGGTGCCCAGCACTGCCCTTCAGTCATGCCTAGTGGGCCAAGGACAGCAGGTCTGGTGCCAGGCGGGCCGAGACCCTGCAGAGACCCCGAGCAAGGCCAGGGCTGCCTCTGGGGTCAGGCCTGTCTCCTGTCTCATCCCACCCGGCTGGAGTCCCCAGCTGCCTCCAATCAGCCCTGAGGCCTCCCGGCCGACCCTCGCGCTCCGCCCATGTCCCCTCCACCAGGACCCCTGCTGCCCCTCCTCACCTGGATGTAGGCCTGGCCGCATAGGGTGTCATCCAGGTGCCTGGGCTACCGAGGCACTTGCCCTCCTCCCCTCTCCTGTCACTCCTCTTCCCCACCCCCACCGGAGCTGGGGTGGCTCCGGCACCCTGTTCCCGTCCGATGGCCAGGTGACCCTGCCATCCGGTCTGTGGGGCTGACAGACGAGCCTGGCACAAAGTGAGGGGTAAATAGAAGGGCTTGTGGGCGAGACACCCAGTCCTGGGCTTTGCTTTCAAATACCTGGGATGCCCTGGCCCTGGCCAGTGTGGTGCAGCGGTCGGAGCCTTGGTCCGCAGACCAAAGGGTCGTTGGTTCGAGTCCTAGTCAAGGGCACATACCTGGGTTGCAGGTTCAATCCCTGGCCCTGGTCAGGGTCGTGTGGTATTGGTCAGGGTCTCTCTCACATCGATGTTTCTCTCTCTCTCCTTCTTCCCTTCCACTCTGTCTAAAAATCAATGAAAAAATATCTTCGAGTAAGGATTAACAGAAAAAAGAGAGTTTTTTAAGGTGATCCCCCATGGGACGAGGTCCAGGAAGAAGTGAGCAGAGCTGACAGTGGACGGACACACAGCCTGCGGGAGGGGAGGGCTGGCTGTGCAGCACTGGCCCTGGGGTGGGGCCCTGACTGTCTCCCTGCCCCACGCTGAGCCCCTCTCACAGCCCCTGGGGTGGGGGTCCCGACTCAGTGTGTCCCCTGCCCCACGCTGAGCCCCTCTCACAGCCCCTGGGGTGGGGGCCCTGACTGTCTCCCTGCCCCACGCTGAGCCCCTCTCACAGCCCCTGGGGTGGGGGCCCTGACTGTCTCCCTGCCCCACGCTGAGCCCCTCTCACAGCCCCTGGGGTGGGGGTCCCGACTGTCTCCCCTGCCCCACGCTGAGCCCCTCTCACAGCCCCTGGGGTGGGGGTCCCGACTGTCTCCCCTGCCCCACGCTGAGCCCCTCTCACAGCCCCTGGGGTGGGGGTCCCGACTGTCTCCCCTGCCCCATGCTGAGCCCCTCTCACAGCCCCTGGGGTGGGGGTCCCGACTCAGTGTGTCCCCTGCCCCACGCTGAGCCCCTCTCACAGCCCCTGGGGTGGGGGTCCCGACTGTCTCCCCTGCCCCACGCTGAGCCCCTCTCACAGCCCCTGGGGTGGGGTCCCGACTCAGTGTGTCCCCTGCCCCACGCTGAGCCCCTCTCACAGCCCCTGGGGTGGGGGTCCCGACTGTCTCCCCTGCCCCACGCTGAGCCCCTCTCACAGCCCCTGGGGTGGGGGTCCCGACTGTCTCCCCTGCCCCACGCTGAGCCCCTCTCACAGCCCCTGGGGTGGGGGTCCCGACTGTCTCCCCTGCCCCACGCTGAGCCCCTCTCACAGCCCCTGGGGTGGGGGTCCCGACTCAGTGTGTCCCCTGCCCCACGCTGAGCCCCTCTCACAGCCCCTGGGGTGGGGGTCCCGACTCAGTGTCTCCCCTGCCCCACGCTGAGCCCCTCTCACAGCCCCTGGGGTGGGGTCCCGACTCGGTGTGTCCCCTGCCCCACGCTGAGCCCCTCTCACAGCCCCTGGGGTGGGGTCCCGACTCGGTGTGTCCCCTGCCCCACGCTGAGCCCCTCTCACAGTCCCTGGGGTGGGGTCCCGACTCGGTGTGTCCCCTGCCCCACGCTGAGCCCCTCTCACAGCCCCTGGGGTGGGGTCCCGACTCGGTGTGTCCCCTGCCCCACGCTGAGCCCCTCTCACAGCCCCTGGGGTGGGGGTCCCGACTCGGTGTGTCCCCTGCCCCACGCTGAGCCCCTCTCACAGCCCCTGGGTTCGACAGAGAGCAGCAGGTGGTTAGGCTCCAGCTGTGACTTGTCCCCACACCGGCCCTGGTGCCAGCCTGTCTGAACTGTCCTGTTGCCTCCTCCTCCCCGCTCCTGGCTGTCCCATGTGTCCGGGACAGTGTCCCCCTGTATCTGGGACGGTGTCCGTCCCCATGTGTCTGGGACAGTGTCCCGGGCCTGGCACGGCAGAGGCCACCCACACCCTGCTCCTGGGGTGGCCTGGAGTGGCCTGGGGCCTGCAGTGTGTGTGGCCAGCAGCCAGGAGGGAGGGCTGCCAGCCTGGGAGCGGGTCTTATGAGGCAATGCCAGAGAGACACCTCAGATGTAGCCAGCAGATGGCTTGGTTCCTTCTTCGGTCAGGAAGTCTGCCGGACACAGCCAGAGGCGGACAGCCCCGGATGGACGGACTGAGCGCTGGGCCCAAGCCAGGCGGGCTTGCATGGGCGCTGGGGCACTGGGGACAGGTGGGGGTGTGCTTCTGGCTCCAACAGACCCAGCGAAGGAGCCCCCGCCAGGCACACATGATGGCCCTCACCTCCCCGCCACTAGCTCCCAGGCTCTGACCTTGATGGCCCCTCCACCCTGCTGACCGCACTCCAGATATGTCCTGTCTTGGGCCCTGGAACGTGCTGCCACTTCCTGGGGACAGTGCTCAGCCCTGAGCCCCCCCCCCCCCCCGGCCCTCACCCCTCTCCTGGTCACGGCACCGCGGGCCTTGGCACTTACGTGCATTCAGTGCTGTGGCCGGCGCACTGACCGCCGTCCCTCCCGGGACCCTGCTGGGTCTGCTCGAGGCTCAGGGCCCCTGCGTGCACCCAGGACAGGGTTCCTGCCGGCTCGAGCCCTGGGAGCGGCCGCCAGGTGTGGTTCACACCACAGGCTCCCTCTGCGGCTCTTCGTCCTCACCACCCACACCTGAGACCCTAGCCCACTTGGCAGGAGCCGAGGAGGGACAGGGCAGGCCCCTCACCCCCAGGAGGTGCCAGCTGGACAGAGAAGGTGGCCGTTTGCTCCCACACCTGCCACACTCTCGTTTTCCTCTGCCCGCCCTCAGGGGCCTTCAGCCCTTTAACTAACTCCGATTCCCGTCTTCCTGGCAGCGTCTTGAATCTGGGAGCTAAAGGTCATCTTGCAGGCACTGGTTTCGGGAGGAAGCTAACGCAGGGATCTGCGCGGCACAGGAAGCTGCCCAGGCCGCAGGGCCCTCCCCAGACCAGTGGCCCCCGGCCTTGGGGTCCACTCAGCTGGGAGGTGGGGCTCAGTCCTGCCTCGGATGGGATAAAAATAGGGTCCCAGCTGCCACCTGGCCAGTGCTGAGGGAGGGCCCCAATCCCTAAAGGAGGTCTCTGTCTTGCCCCCACTGCACAGGTGAGCTGACCGGGGCTTCGGCAGCGGGCATGGGGCGGGCCAGGCCCACCCAGCTCTTCGTCTCTGAGCCCCCCCAGGCCTGACCCATCACGGATACTCATCTGTGAGACGGGGATCCCGGGGCCCACCTGGCAGGGGCCGGACCCGGGGCCTAGTCAGCCAGGGGTTTGTGCAGTTTTGGGGGGCACGGGGGCACGGTGGGCAGAGCCCCTCAGCCCTGCCTCAGAGTGCTGACTGGGTGGAAGCCGCAACCCGATTCCCGCTGCGTCAGCGCCCTCGCTGGGACCCCGTGTTTGCAGAGTCAACACGCCCTCTCGCCAAGGAGAACCCCGGGTTGTGCAAGACTGGGCTTCACTTCGGGCTCTGAAAACAAGCCTGTGTCACACAGCTCGTGACCCCCCAAGGCGGGCGAGAACTGCTGGGGACAGCCATGACCAGACACACCCACACCGGCTGCCCCGGCCCCTCTTCACTAGCAGCCGATGGCACATGGCTGCAGGCTCGCCAGGAGCGTCTGCGGAGCCGAAGGAACCGGTGCAGACGGCTGCCCCAGAGCAGCAGGGCTGTGGGCAGCTCGGGCTGGGGCCCTGGGGCAGGTGGCCCTGGGGTAACAGCTGTCTCCACTCTGGCTCCGTCCCTGACGGTCCATCCTTCCAGATATCACTGTCCTGATTGGTCAGAAGGGAGCTGCTCTGATTGGCCAGTGAAGTTGCGGGACTGTAGGTGCAAGGACCCGAGGGGCTGGGGAGCCCCAACCTGTGGGCTGAAATGGGGTCCCAGGAGCTGCTTCGTGGGGCTGACCCGTGGGCAGGGGCCATGCGGGGGGCAGGGCAGTTAGGTGCAGGGTTCTCCCTGAAGTGTGGTTTGCAAGAGGCCCTGTGCGGAGATGGCTGCCAGGCTCCTTTTGTTTTTGTTCATCCTCACCTGAGGACCTTTTCCCATTCATGTTCTTAGAGAGTGGAAAGGGGGAGAGAGACACATCGACTGGTTGCCTCCCACACAACTCCAACCAGGGCTGGGGATCGAATGTGCGACCCAGGTATGTGCCCTT